TTATGTCTTTGGGATAGTTTTAGTTGGAACTTTGTTTAATATATACACTGCCATCTTAAGTGCTTCTGTCCACAAGGATTTAGGAAGATTGGAGCTACTAAACATGCTTCACGCCATGTCCAATAATATTCTATTTCTTCTTTTTGCTAACCATTCTGATCTGGTGAACTAGGCATGGTGTATTGGGCAACTATCCCACACTCTTAAAGAAACTTAACAAATGGATCAGATGCTTGTCCATCCTCTGTGTATTTACCGTAGTATTCTCCACCTCCATCTGATCTTACGATCTTATTCTATATATATATATATATATATATATAAAATCAATAAAGGTGATAAAGTATTTCTGATCATGTGAGTCCATTTATGGACTACATATATCAGTATGTATGATTTCTAATATGTCCAAACTCTTGTTGTACCTTTCTTGGACCTATTGTCTGCTTTCCCTTAATGCAGTACACACGTGTTAAAATCAATGAAATGTAGAGTACAAAATACCTATCACTCACTAACCTTTTGATTATATCTATAGAGATATGTTCTAATCTTCAATGCCACAACATAGAGGAGTCTTCATTAATATTACATCGGTTGATATTAGTATAAACATGCATTGAACTATAAGTGATATTGTTTTGTAAATTAATACAATATAGACCATCAAACACAGTATCATTCCTAACACAATCATACTGAATCATACTGTAACGACCCAAAATTTAAAGATTTAAGATCGTCATTAAAACCTTTATTTCATAATTAAATAAATTATGTCAAACATTCTACATGAAAATCTTTCTAGTTCCATCTATAAAATAAATAAAGTCTATGGAAAACATAATTAACTGAACCATGTCCCAAATATTAAATTTCAAATTTAACATGAAGATAAAACTGAAATAACGCAAAAAAATAATAATAAATAAAATTTTCTAGTCATGTTACTTAGAATTTATTTATCTTGAATTCTATAATTTATGGCATCACAACTCCACTGCATCGCCCGCCAACCAACGACCCGTTCTAATCTGTAAGGTGTAGGAAAAATGGTGAGTACATGGAAATACTCAGTAGGATATAAAAAATTATGGTGCGATCGCGTATAAAAATTTTAAAACATGCATCGGAAAGTCATACCGTCTCATGTCTTTAAATCCGGTAAGAGTTCATATTATATCATATCATATCATATTGTTGTACCGGAATGGCCATATCATTCACATCATAATATATCATATCATAACTTTAACTTTCATGAGTATAAAATTCATCAGCATGAACAAATATTTAAATGGTACATAAAAATACTGCACCTCATATCCTAACTTGTTAACTTGCTTTGATTTTTGGCAGACAAAATAAAATTCACGTTCCAACAAATCCCCCCCCCCCTTTTCTGTCTGCCTCTCTGCTTATGTATATATTTTTATGTATCTTATATGGTGTGTAATTATATTCATATGCAAATACGCAAGAGTTGAAAGTGAAAAAAAAAAAGAGTTATGGATAAAATATTGGAAATCAAAATTTGACCACATCTTGTCAACAACTAAGCCACTCAAAAACCAACACGTGGCAGTACATCTAATTTTGCTTAACCACCCACGTGACTTCCTTTATCTCCCCCTTTTTCTTTTTTCTTTTTTAAATCTTTATTTGAGTAAAAACAAAATTTCAATCATAACCTATCAAGATTCTCTCTCCTTTCACGCCACTTGTGAAAGAGTTTATATTGATTAAATAATTAATTAAAAATATAATTTAAAGTTATATCTTTCGATCCCAATAATTTGGACTCCGCTAATCCAAATTAACTTTTTCTCGAACCTAACATGCATGATTAATTACGATCTATCCAACGAGCCCATTATTTATATGCTAATTATTGATCCGCCAATATCCACATTTTAATCCAACTAAAATTGAAATTTACTATATACTTTAGTCCCTAATCTTTCAAAATATTAAAATATAGCATACAAAAAAAATTAAATTCTATTCCACCAAATTTTTTGAGACATTACAATCTCCCCTCCTTAAAATATTTTTGTCCTCGAAAATTTACCTTGACTAATTGAAGAGCTCTGGATACTTAATTTTAAGCTCCTCTTCTTTCTCCCAAGTTGACTCATCCAGTCCATGATTTTACCATTGGACCTTGACTAGGGGAACTTCCCTGTTTCTGAGTTGATGCACTATCCTGTCCAAAATCATTATTGGGATTTCTTCATATGATAGATCTTTTTGTACCTCCAAGGCTTGGTAACTTATCACGTGATTGGAATCAAGGACATATTTTCTGAGCATCGAAACATGGAACACATTATGCACTGCTGCAAGTTCAGGTGGTAAGGCAAGTCGGTAAGCCACAACACCAATCCTTTCAAGGATCTCAAAAGGTCCAATGAACTGCGGTCTCAACTTCCCTTTCTTTCCAAATCACAATACACCCTTCATTGGTGCTACCTTTAGAAAAACCTTATCGCCTACTTGAAATTCTAAATCCTTTCTTCTACTGTCAACATAACTTTTCTAACGATCTTGTGCTGCCTTTATTCTTGTTCTAATTTTATCAACTGCCTCAACTGTTCGTTCAATAATTTCAGGACGCAGGATTCTGTTCTCCCCGACCTCGTCCCAATGGATAGGGAATCTGCACTTTCTACCATAAAGAGCTTCATATGGGACCGTACCTATAGTGGCCTGGAAACTATTGTTGTAAGCAAACTCCACTAAAGGTAGGTGTATTTCCCAACTTTATCCAAGATCCAGAACACATGCTCTTAACATATCTTCCAGAATTTGAATAGTTCTTTCTGATTTTCCATCCGTTTGAAGATGATGAGCAGTGCTAAACTTTACCTTCGTCCCCATGGCTGTCTGCAAACTTTTCCAAAATTTAGATGTGAACCTCGGGTCTCTATCTGAAACAATGGTGACTGGAACTCCATGCAATCTGACTATCTCTTTGACGTATAACTGTGCGAGTTGTTCCATGTTGAAGTTTACTTTGATGGGTAGAAAATGGGCTGACTTTGTTAGACGATCCACCACTACCTAGATAGCATTGTGAGTTTTTACTGACCTCGGGAGGCCTACCACAAAATCCATCGTTATGTGTTCCCACTTCCATTCTGGAATATCCAATGGTTTCAATAACCCTAATGGCCTTTGATGTTCTGCCTTAAACTGTTGACAGATAATACATTTTTCAACAAATAGACCAATTCCTCTCTTCATATTTCTCCACAAAAATGTATCTCGAAGATCTCGATACATTTTCGTACCACCTGGATGTGCCGAATACAGGGTAGAGTGAGCCTTTTCCAATATATCATTTCTTATACTTTCATCTTTAGGTACACACAACCTTCCTTTAAAAGTCAATACTTTATCTGGAGATACTTCAAATCCTATATGTTTGTTTGTACCAATCTTAGCTTTAATCTTCTGCAAAAACGGGTCCTTATCCTGTGCTTCTTTAATTCGATCCCGAAGAGTGGGTTGAATCATAAATGCTCTTATTCTTGTTGTAGTCTGAGTTGGCGGTGTGATGACTTCCAATCTTAGTTTCTCAAAGTCCCTTATCAAGTGTTCCTGCACCATAGGTAAAACTGCTAACTGCGATCCCGTCTTTCTGCTTAAGGCATCTGCGACTACATTAGCTTACCCGGATGGTAATGAATTGTGCAGTCATAATCTTTCACTGACTCCAATCATCTCCTCTACCTCATATTCAGTTCCTTCTATGTGAAAAAGTATTTGAGACTCTTGTGATCTGTATAAATTTCACACTTCCCACTATAGAGATAATGACGTTATATCTTTAAGGCGTGAACTACTACTACAAGCTCCAAGTCGTGTGTTGGATAGTTTTGTTCATACTGCTTCAACTGTCTCGAGGCGTAAGCAACCACTTTTCCATGCTGCATCAGTACACAGCCTCAACCCTATTTGGAGGCAATGCTGTAAATCACAAATCCATCAGAGCCATCTGGAATCGTCAATACAGGAGCTGAAACTAGTCTTTGCTTGAGTTCTTGAAAACATTTCTCACATTTTTCTGTCCACTGTAACTTCACACCCTTTCTTATCAACTGAGTCATCGGCCCTGCTATTTTTGAAAAGCCTTCAATGAATCTTCTATAATAACCAGCCAATCCCAAGAAACTGCGGACTTCACCCACACTGCTCGCCTTTGGCCAATTTGTAACTGCTTCTACTTTTGCAGGATCTACTTCGATTCTTTAGGCGGTAACCACATGACCAAGGAAACCTACACAATCAAGCCAAAATTTGCACTTCTTGAATTTGGCATATAATTTCTCATTCCTCAAGGTTTCAAGTACTACTCCGAGTTGTTCCTCGTGTTGTTTCTTGTCTTTAGAGTACACGAGTATGTCGTCAATAAATACTATGACGAACTGGTCTAAGTATTGATGAAACACTCTGTTCATGAGATCTATAAATATAGCTGGAGCATTGGTCAAACCAAAAGGCATGACAGTGAATTCATAGTGTCCATAACGAGTCCTGAAAGCAATTTTTGGTATATCGCTTGCCCTGCTTTTTAGTTGATGATACCCTGACCTCAAGTCAATCTTTGAAAACACTGTAGCACCCCTTTACTAGTCAAACAAATCTTCTATTCTTGGACACTGGTACTTATTTTTTATAGTCAAATGGTTTAATTTCCGGTAGTCAATGCACATCCTCATACTTCCATCCTTCTTCTTCACAAAAAGTACAGGAGCTCACCAAGGAGATATACTTGGTCGAATGAAACATTTCTCCAACAACTCCTCTAATTGCAACTTCAATTCTTGAAGTTCTTTCGGTGCCATTCGATATGAGGCCTTGGATACTGGTACTGCTCTAGGAACCAAATCAATTGTAAATTTCACTTGCCTATCATGTGGAATGCCTGGTAAATCATCTGGAAATACGTCTGCAAAATCTCGCACAATGTTAATAGCATTAACAGTCATTTCTAGATGTCGGGGACTGGTGATATTAACTAAAAATCCTTGACATGACTCCTTTTTCAACATCCTTTCCGCTTGAATAGCTTATACAAGACGAGGCAAAGACTTGAACTTTCCTCCAAAGAAACGGAATCCTTCCTCTCCAAAGATTGACTTGAGGTCAGGGTATCATCAACAAAAAATCAGGGCAAGCAGTATACCAAAAATTGCTTTCAGGACTCGTTATGGACACTATGAATTCATTGTCATGCCTTTTGGTTTGACCAATGATCTAGCTATATTTATGGATCTCATGAACAGAGGGTTTCATCAATACTTAGACCAATTCATCATAGTATTTATTGATGACATACTCGTGTACTTCAAAGACAAGAAACAGTATGAGGAACAACTCCGAGTAGTACTTGAAACCTTGAGGAATGAGAAATTATATGTCAAACTCAAGAAGTATGAATTTTGGCTTGATCGTGTAAGTTTCCTTGGTCATGTGGTTACCGCCCAAGGAATCGAAGTAGATCCTGCAAAAGTAGAAGCAGTAACAAATTGGCCAAGGCCGAGCAATGTGGGTGAAGTTCGCAGTTTCTTGGGATTGGCTGGTTATTATAAAAGATTCATTGAAGGCTTCTCAAAAATAGCAGGGCCGATGACTCAGTTGACGAGAAAGGGTGTGAAGTTTCAGTGGACAGAAAAATGTGAGAAATGTTTTCAAGAACTCAAGCAAAGACTAGTTTCAGCTCATGTATTGACGATACTAGATGGCTATGATGGATTTGTGATTTACAGCGATGCCTCCAAATAGGGTTTAGGCTGTGTACTGATGCAGCATGGAAAAGTGGTTGCTTACGCCTCGAGACAGTTGAAGCAGTATGAACAAAACTATCCAACACACGACTTGGAGTTTGCAGCAGTAGTTCACGCCTTAAAGAGTCATTATCTCTATGGTGGGAAGTGTGAAATTTATACAGATTACAAGAGTCTCAAATATTTTTTCACACAGAAGGAACTGAATATGAGGTAGAGGAGATGGTTGAAATTAGTCAAAGGTTATGACTGCACAATTCATTACCATCCGGGTAAGCTAATGTAGTCGCAGATGCCTTAAGCAGAAAGACGGGATCGCAGTTAGCAGTTTTACCTACGGTTCAGGAACTCTTGATAAGGGACTTTGAGAAACTAAATTGGAAGTTATCACACCGCCACCTCGGACTACAGCAAGAATAAGAGCATTTATGATTCAACCAACTCTTCGGGATCGAATGAAAGAAGCACAGGATAAGGACCCGTTTTTGCAGAAGATTAAAGCTGAGATTGGTACAAACAAGCCTATAGGATTTGAAGTATCTGCATATAAAGTATTGACTTTTAAAGGAAGATTGTATGTACCTAAAGATAAAAGTATAAGAAATGAGATATTGGAAGATGCTCACTCTACCCTGTATTCGGTACATCCAGGTGGTACGAAAATGTATCGAGATCTCCGAGATACATTTTGGTGGAGAAACATGAAGAGATGAATTGGTCTATTCAGTGAAAAATGTATTATCTGTCAACAGTTTAAGGCAGAACATCAAAGGCCATTAGGGTTATTGAAACCATTGGATATTCCAGAATGGAAGTGGGAACACATAACGATGGATTTTGTGGTAGGCCTCCCGAGGTCAGTAAAAACTCACAATGCTATCTAGGTAGTGGTGGATCGTCTAACAAAGTCAGCCCATTTTCTACCCATCAAAGTAAACTTCAACATGGAACAACTCGCACAGTTATACGTCAAAGAGATAGTCAGATTGCATGGAGTTCCAGTCACCATTGTTTCAGATAGAGACCCGAGGTTCACGTCTAAATTTTGGAAAAGTTTGCAGACAGCCATGGGGACGAAGGTAAAGTTTAGCACTGCTCATCATCTTCAAACGGACGGAAAATCAGAAAGAACTATTCAAATTCTGGAAGATATGTTAAGAGCATGTGTTCTGGATCTTGGAGGAAGTTGGGAAATACACCTACCTTTAGTGGAGTTTGCTTACAACAATAGTTTCCAGGCCACTATAGGTACGGTCCCATATGAAGCTCTTTATGGTAGAAAGTGCAGATTCCCTATCCATTGGGACGAGGTCGGGGAGAACAGAATCCTGCGTCCTGAAATTATTGAACGAACAGTTGAGGCAGTTGATAAAATTAGAACAAGAATAAAGGCAGCACAAGATCGTTAGAAAAGTTATGCTGACAGTAGAAAAAAGGATTTAGAATTTCAAGTAGGCGATAAGATTTTTCTAAAGGTAGCACTAATGAAGGGTGTATTGTGATTTGGAAAGAAAGGGAAGTTGAGACCGCAGTTCATTGGACCTTTTGAGATCCTTGAAAGGATTGGTGTTGTGGTTTACCGACTTGCCTTACCACCTGAACTTGCAACAGTGCATAATGTGTTCCATGTCTCGATGCTCAGAAAATATGTCCATGATTCCAATCACGTGGTAAGTTACCAAGCCTTGGAGGTACAAAAAGATCTATCATATGAAGAAATCCCAACGATGATTTTGGACAGGAAAGTGCATCAACTCAGAAATAGGGAAGTTTTCCTAGTCAAGGTCCAATGGCAAAATCATGGACTGAATGAGTCAACTTGGGAAAAAGAAGAGGAACTTAAAATCAAGTATCCAGAGCTGTTCAATTAGCCAAGGTAAATTTTTTAGGACGAAAATATTTTAAGGAAGGGAGATTGTAATGTCAAGAAAATTTTGGTGGAATAGAATTTAATTTTTTTGTATGCTATATTTTAATGTTTTGAAAGGTTAGGGACTAAAGTATATAGTAAATTTCAATTTTACTTGGATTAAAATGTGGATATTGGCGGAGCAATAATTAATATATAAATATTGGGCTCGTTGGATAGATCATAATTAATCTTGCATGTTGAGCTCGAGAAAATGTTAATTTGGATTAGCGGAGTCCAAATTATCGAGATCGAAAGATATAACTTTAAATTATATTTTTAATTAATTATTTAATCAATTTAAATTCTTCCACAAGTGGCGTGAAAGGAGGGAGAATCTTGATAGGTTATGATTGAAATTTTGTTTTTACTCAAATAAAGATTTAAAAAAAAAGGGAGATAAAGGAAGTCACGTGGGTGGTTAAGCAAAATTAGATGTACTGCCACACGTTGGTTTTTGAGTGGTTTAATTGTTGACAAGATGTGGTCAAATTTTGATTTCCAATATTTTATCCATAACTCTCTCTTTTTTTCACTTTCACACGTCTCTCCGTACCAACTCTTGTGTATTTGCCTATGAATATAATTACACACCATAGAAGATACATAAAAATATATACATATGCAAAGAGATAGAAAGAAAAAAAAAGGTGGGGGGGATTTGTTGGAACGTAAATTTTATTTTGTCTTCCAAAAATCAAAGCAAGTTAACAAGGTAGGATACGAGGTGCAGTGTTTTTATGTCCCATTTAAATATTTTTTCATGCTGATGAATTTTATACTAATGAAAGTTAAAGTTATGATATGATATGTTATGATGTGAATGATATGGTCATTCCTGTACAACAATATGATATGATATGAGCTCTTACCGGATTTAAAGATATGAGACAATATGACTTTTTGATGCATGTTTTAAAATTTTTATACGGGATCGCACCATAAATTTTTATATCCTACTGAGTATTTCCATGTACTCATCCTTTTTCCTACACCTCACAAATTAGAACGGGTCGTTGGTTGGCAGGCGATGCAGTGGAGTTGTAATGCCAAAAATTATGAAATTCAAGATAAATAAATTCAGAGTAACATGACTAGGAAATTTTATTTATTATTTTTGTTTTTTTGCGTTATTTCAGTTTTATCTTCATGTTAAATTTGAAATTTAATATTTGGGACATGGTTCAATTAATTATGTTTTCCATAGACTTTATTTATTTTATAGATGGAACTGAAAGATTTTCATGTAGAATGTTTGACATAATTTATTTAATTATGAAATAAAGGTTTTAGTAATTATCTTAAATCTTTAAATTTTGGGTCGTTACAATAATAAACTAAATGACGTGTTTGAAAAATTAAAGGAATATCCCAAGGGCACAACTCTAAAAATAAAAATCAATTTCATGAAAAACTTGGAACATAAAAGGTCCTATCTAATTTCAAAACAAAGCCACTACTTAAGGTTAAAACGCATGTTCGTATAGCCTCCATAAGTAAGTCCATCTTGTTTCGGGATAAGATATTTTGCTCACTCTTTACTGGCTTCCTTAGGTTTTGCATACCCGGCAAGGAGTTTCCAATATAGATTATAGATCAGAGTCAATCCACCACGTGTTAATATTTACATTAACCATATTAGATTCATAACAAACAAATGAGGTTGGATTACCTTTATCCTCAAGCTATTTCTTGAATTTGGTGCAATCTTTTTTCATGTGTCCCTTCCTTTTACTGAAGTAATAGTTGGCCTCTTTCTTAATATCAGCCTTCCCCTTTCCATGGGTTGTAGTCAACATTACACTTTCACCTTATTCAATTATTAGTCTATCTACTTCTTGAACACATGTAGTCATTAATTCATTAATTGACCATTTATCCTTATGTGTGTTGTACGAGATCTTGAAAGATCTAAACTCTTGTGGAAGACTATTCAAGATGTAGTGCACAAGGAAGAATTCAGACATCTCAAACTCAAGTCTCTTAAGCTGGCCCATAATGTCTCTCATCTGCATGATGTGCTCGATCACACCTTTCACATTGATGAGCTTTAAGGATGAGAACTTCATTATAAGGGTACTTACTAATGCCTTAATTGAAGTGACGAATTGATCATCAATGGCCTTTATCAAGTCTTGGACTTTGTTATGCTGATCGACGGAACCAGGTAAATCAGCAAAAATTTTAGTCTTTATGAAAATTATGCCAAGGCGATTAGATCGCTCCCATTTTTCATAAAGCGCAATGTCTGCTGCAATACTGGCATCAGTAATTCTAGTTGGTTCATCTTTTCCCAATAGCATAATCAATATCAATCTACCCTAAATAGAGAAGAACTATTTCCTTCCATACTTTATAGTTGTCACCCTACGATTCGGGAATATCACAACGAATATCAGAAAAATTAGCAGGTTGTGACGCTATATAATATTAAAACTACTTATGTTAACTTGAGGCTTAATTGAGTAGATTACATGTTTTACTAATGTAGATCATGTTAAAACTAAATATAATAACCAATATTTTGATAACCGACCTAGTCATCGATCCAAAAAAGGTCAAGGGTCAAAAGGTTCAATCAAAGTTGAACAGGGTGCAATAAATACATACAAAAATAATAAAATATTATGAAAACAATAATTTTTTAAAAAAATTTCATATTAATAATTTGTTAATTAAATTCATCATCCTACAATTAGTCTCGATGTTACAAAAATTAAAAATTAATATGTAAAAGAGTTTGCTTTGTTAAATTAAAATATTTTAAACTTATAGAAAATGATATCTAACATTAATATATTAATAATCAAGTGCAATTTAAGTTAAATTTGACAATTAAATAAATGAAAAGATGAAGGTGGATATTACAATTTAGTTAGTGGGGATTCAAAATAAATTAGTTAATTAGATATACATTTGAAAAATGATTTTGATGGTTATTTTAACATTTTTTTTGTTATGTCACTATTCCATATTGAAAGTTTATGAAACCATTGGAGAGAAGTGCATCTATAAAATGTACTATTTCACATTGGAGTTCATGAAACCATTTGAAAGGGGTGTTTCTACAAAAGGAACGTGTCATCCAATATTTCTCTATGGGTCTTTGAATTGTAGTTTATGAGGCCCATTCATGAACTTAAAATTAAAAAAAATAAAAAAGGGGGGGACCACAAAACTGTGATCAATTTACCGATTTATGGTTAAACCGGCCGGTTCGATAGGTTTATAAGCGGTTTAGTCATAATTGATTAACCGTGCATGATTGGCTCAATTTTGGCCCGGTTCCCGATTTTACTTGTTGAACTCGTCAGGTTGGCCCAGTTTTGACATTGATAATGACAAAAAAATTGCCTGTGGGCTAAATTGTTAATTCAATCATATTCAATTTCAAATGATAAAATTGTTAAATTATGTACTTAATTCATAATTAGTTTATTGTGAAAACAATTTGATAATCTATCCTAAAGACACTTTATAATAAAACTATCAAATTATATACTTATTCATAATTCCGGTGGGTAAATTATGAAATAATTTGATATTTTATTTTAATTAATTATATAAATATTCCTGTGAGATAAAATTCATTACGATCTAATTTGTCTTTAATTAAAATATATAATTTTATTTAATTAAAGATGCTGTGCCTAATCCTTAAATAAAAAAAATTATACGGATTATTAGAAATTATCCTTTCATGCATAAACAATTAACTCAATATTAGAATAATTCTAATAGCAGAATTTAAACTAACATCTTATGATTATGCACAAAATAATATCATAGACATTACAAAATTGCATTAAATAATTTAAGCATAATTAATTCATGCAAACTAAATATGAGCATAATTCACAATTTAATATATCCCAAAATTGCATATATTATTCCAAAAATGATATAGTATGAAAAATTAAAATAAATGCCTAAGAATTAAACTGCATAATTAGCCCATATATAAAACTGCATGTTTGAACTCTATACCGAATTTATAATTGCATAAGTAAAACATGCATTATGAAAATAATATGGATTATGGTCCAATAAACAAGGGAACAATACATAACCCAGGCTTTTAAAGTACCCCATTTCATTTTTAAGAATCAAGGTTTAAATATACACAAATCAGGTCATAAATCATATATATATATATATATATATGGTATGATTACAAACGGCTCCTTAAATAAGTAATCTGTCACAATTTCTGCTGAAATCTCGATCACAAATCAATGTAACATCCCAGAAAAAGAACTTGAGCAATCGTAGGAAGAAAATCATTCACATTACCGGAATCGTATTCAATAGCAATCGAAATTAATTGATCCGTAATCAAGCAATCATCGTTCTTCCGTAATCTGGATTACAATCAGGTATGTGATTCCAATTTTGAAATCCTATGACAACATCTGTATTCATCTTGTGGCTTCGAATTCAACCAATTCATGTTAGGGCATTACGATTTACAGACAGTAGTCTATGTGACTCAGCTACATTATGATTGTGGACATCAAATAATTACGTTATAGACAGTTACATATGTGACCAGTCTCAATATGTAGCATGAATTTCAATGTGTGACCGTCATAGGTGATTGGGATTGACTGCATGTGGTAGAGTTCTACGTATGATATAGAATTTTTTGTATGTGACCTTGAGTTGTATATGAAATCATACTTTCTGTTAGTCCAAGAACTATATAAATGTGACCATAGCAAATACCTAAAACTGATATGTGACTGATTTTCTTATCTAAATCCTGCTGTCTTCCTTTTGAATTTTACAAAAATGGGATATGTGCACGTTTGCTTGTTATACAGGTCACAGTCAGTACTGGTGATGGTTGATCATAATTGTTCTTATATAAAGCTTGTGGAAACAGCAGTAACAGAGTTCAGTCTAGATCCTACTAAGGTAGCTGTCACAATGACTTACACACTAAATGTTGATCTGCCTCCAGTAAGAATAAGTAGTGATAATAATGTTCGAACATACGTGACTCTAAAAACTGTAGAGCGTGACCCGTCAAAGTATCCCATAAACATTGAGGTGACATCTATAGAAATAGGGCATGAATCGCTCAGTTCTATGTTGGACAATCCAAATGTACTTTATGTGCAATCTAGTGCAAGGGTGTATCCGTTGTAGAATATAACAACTGACATATGTGATGCAGTTATAGAGACATCCCATCGCATGGAAGAAAATTTGGTCACAATTGTTTCCATTCCTGATGCAATGAGTATAGAAGAAGGCAGACTGTTTCGCAATAAGGATGTTTTGAAATTAAGCATGTCTTTCTTTGCCATACAAAATATGTTTGAATACGTGATAGTTATATTAGATAAGAAGAAGTATCTAGTCAAGTGCTCACATGATGACTGCAGCTGGATATGTAGGTCTTCAAGGTTGGGAAAAACAGAGATTTTCAAGATTTGAAAGCTAATCGATGGTCACACATGTGCTTCAAACATAGTCCTAGGAGCTCACAGGTAAGTCTCAACATGTCCTCATGCATCAAGTATAAATATACATCATCGCATACTGTATACACTCCGAACGATATATGTAACGACATGTTGCATACATATGGAGTCACAATGAATTATGTTAAAACTTGGAGGTCACGGGAAAGAAATTTTAAACTAATCAGGGGGGATCCAATAGAGTCATTTCGGCAGCTACCAAGCTACTTTTATATGCTTGAACAGACAAATCTTGGAACAGTGACAAACTTGGAAGTCGATGGTCACAACAGATTCAAGTACTGTTTCATAGCACTTGGTGCATTTATTGAAGAATGGGTCCACTGTAGGCCTGTAAGAGTTGTGGACGGCACGTACCTAAATGGGCACTAAGGAGACACTCTATTTACAGCTTGTACACATGATGCTAATAACAGCATCTTTGTGCTTGCATTCGGTGTTGGGGATAACGAAAATGATGCATCTTGGATATGGTTTTTAGAAAACCTTAGGGGTGCTTATAGTAATAGGGAAGGACTTTGTTTTGTATCAAACAGGCATAACAGTATAAAGAATGTAGTCGAACGGGTGTATCCGGGTACAAGCCATGGAATTTGTACGTACCATTTGCTACAAAACTTGAAATCACACTTTGGTAAATCAGGTCACAATATAACGCAACCATTCAATTTGGCTGTTTGTGCATACACTTTATTAGATTTTGAGTACAATATGCAACAGTTAGACACAATCAACAAGAAGATTAGAGGTTACCTGGCAAGGTTTGAGTTTCGTACATGTACATACTGTCCGTGAAAGGTATACGCCTTCCAACCTAATAATGTTTTGGCTTCTTAGGATGAAATTGGACCAGAAAGGTGGTCACGGCTCCACATGCCTGTAAATAGGTACTCCACGATGACCTCTAATATAGTGGAATCCGTCAACACATTCACAAAAGCAGCGAAGAACTATCCTATTATAGCGTTGTTGGATTCATTGCAACAAACAATACAATCTTGGTTTTGTAAGAACAGAGACACTGCATATGGCACATTCACAAAGTTGTCCACCAAGTACGAGAAAATGATGAGAGAAATGAGCACATCTTTGAGGAACATGAGGGTGACGAACATATTTGTTACATTAAATCATATACATATATATGTAAATTGGTGGAATATCCAATATGTACGATGTGTGACCTGACATTATCATTTTCTTTGTTCGCAGGTATCTCCAGCAAACCAAACAATATTTTTGGTTGCTGATGAGAGATCGTCATTTGTCGTTGATATAGAGAAACGAACTTGCACATGTCGATTGCTTCAAGTTGATCAGATGTTATGTCCACACGCATTGGCTGTAATAGCAACAACTAAACGGGATCCGTACGATTATTGTTCGTACTTCTACACCCGTGAAGCGTACATGAATGCATACCAATACACAGTATACCTAATGGAGAGTCCAAATGAGTGGATTGTGCCCCCCGAAAGTTGAAGACGTAATTGTCCTGGTACCTAATAAGAAAAGGAGCTCAGGCAGACCAGCTGAAAAGAGGAGAAGATCGTGCATTGAGGGGAAACAAACGGTGAAATGTGGACGTTGTGAAGGTAGTGGTCACAATCGTAGGACATGCAACAACCTGCTTCCATTAGTGAAAAAATAATCTAAAATCATGTGAAATGTTAACGGTATCGACATTTTAGCATTCATAACTTTGGTTCGTTAGGCCCTTACATGTACACAATTTAGGCTTACATTTTCATTAATCTGTGACAAACAAAAAATGCAAATGAATTTCTCACATTAACATTAGTACATTTTTCCTT